AGCTTGCTCTTTCACAGAAGGTGGTGGCTTTCTTTCTCCAGTACATATAAGGGTGATCCTGTTTGCTGCAATTAAATGCCTAATTACTTTTTTTTTTTTAATCTCTGACCCAGACACTTTTCTTTCTCTATTTTGTTCTTTGTCTCACAGGATCTCCAGTAGTGAGAGATAAAATATCACAATGTCCTGGGTCTGCCAACAGCATTACAGAGGCTCCCTGTCTGATAATCTAATTTCTCATTGTCCATTTAATACATTTTCTCTCAAATATGTAATGTTTTCTTGTTGCTTCCCTTAGGATTCTAATTCTGTGACTTTCTTAGCATAGTTCTTTAGAACAGTAGAAGTACCTTTATTTTCTCTTAATATATTTTATCTCTATAATAATAGTATCTCCTTGAAGTAAACCAGTAGTGCTTTGAGTAATTTATGCTGCTCTTTCTGGTAGTCCTCTCTGATATCTGTCATAATTTTCTATACTTGTCCCAATACAAAAGAAATTTGTTAATTGCAATTTTTTTAGATATATACCAAGATGAATACTGGATATCCTCCTTTAATTATTGTCAACATTTTGCTATCCTGATCTATTAAAAAAAAAAAAGTGCAGTTCTCCAGCTGCTTTTATTATGGAATTTATGGATAGGTTTTACAGGCTGTTTCCCAAGAGGGTTGTGGCTCTTGACTTCCTGTGATCTTTTTATTTTTTGGATTTTGATTATCTTGCTAGATTTCCTTGTTGCCTTGTTATTATTTCTGGTCAATTAATGCAACATGTCCTCCCCTTTTCTATAGCCTTTATTAGAGTAGCTTGTGAGTGACATGGAAGAGAATGGGTAAAACTTAGATTGCAGTGGAAGGTGATAGCATACCAGGGGGAGGAAAAAGTATGAGGGAAAAAAAACCCAGAAAGTATATATTCAAGGAACAGCAAAAGAAATTTTCTCAAGAAAATATTTTTCCTGAATGTTTCCTGACTTGTTTTATGCCCTTTCTGTTCTGGAATTAAACACACTATTTTCACTTGAGGGATTTTGTCTTGAGAGAACTGACAGGAGATAGAGTAGCAAACTTGATAGCTTTGGCTGTTCCTTTCTTAAAATTTCAGATATTGCTCATTTTAGAGTGTATAAATTTCAGTTCCCAATTTTTTTTTCACTTTATTAGTTCCTATGTAGCCAACGCAGATCCTTTCTGGAAGCAGGCAGGACATCAATTACAAGGAAATAAAATAAGCAATTAAGATTTTGGAAAAGTACCCAGATGGATTTGCAACTCCTATCTGCCTGCTTTTTTAGAGAGGCAATTTTGGAGAAAAAGAATTAAATAAATAGGCCTAGTTTAGAGGTTTTAGTAGAGGAGAAATATTCTGGTGTGTCCAAGTCACCAGTTACAGTGCTTCTCTGAAAGTTTTTGGAATTTTTTTTTTTTTCACAGCCACGCTCTGGAACAGCATCAGTGTTCTTTAAGGGACCAGGAAAAGTGGTGATGGTTGCCATTTGCATGTAAGTATTAAAAAATAGATGCATATTCCTTTTAATGTATATATCCTTAAGTATACAAATTCATTATTTGGTAGCTGCCTGCAGAGTTAGAGGCTTACATTGTTGTACGAGGAAGCTGAGTAACTGTAGAGCTGTCAGTGAAGCGATGGGGAGGAGTATGAGTCCATGTAGATACTCATGCTTGTGCACTGTGTATTTTTGATGTGGTTAATAACCATTTAAGATGCTAACTGACAACCTCTCTTACTTTCATTGGAATCTGTAGAACTCTTTTTTGTTTTTTTAGGTTAGATTGGCCAAGGTTATTTTTAGAGTAAACAAACCAACCTAGATTATAGCTACTGAAGAATATATTTGTGTTTGTTATTTTTCTCCTATTTACCATAGAAGAATGTAGTTGATGTCTTTTGAAATGCTCTGTCATCTTGATTCTTATTTTGTTGATCTTTTATTATTCATTTTTCTGATTAACCTATTTTAGACTTACAATAGCATTAATTCTATTAATTCACCAGGACTTCTATTTCTTTTTCTTTTCTTTTTTTTTTTTTGCGCTGGAGTTTGAACTCAGAGCCTCACATTTGCTAGGCAGGCACTCTGCCACTTGAGCCACTCCATCCCTGTTTTGTGTTGGATATTTTTCAAGAGAGATTCTCTTGAACTATTTGCCTGGGGCTGGCTTTGAACAGCAATCCTCCTGAACTCTGCTTCTCAAATAGCTAGGATTACAGGCATGAGCCACCAGCACTTGGCCTATTTCTTAAAAATATGCATCAGACACTTCAATAGGATAGGGAAATACAAAGATACAAAACATTCTTGAAGGATTGGTGAGGCATTAACTAGAGGAAGGCATTTATAATAATATAGACAGGGGAGGAGGATGATATCCTAATGAGAATAGTAAGTGGAGCAGATGGAGAGACTTGGACAGGTTCAGGAAGTAGTACTTAGAAGTCGACAAGAATGGTTTCCAAGTTTCTGACATGGAACAGTTGTAAATACTGCACCATTTATTCACTGAGAGGAATATCGGAAAGAGGGCAGAGTGAGAGTGAAAAAATGAGCTTATTTTTGAGTTGGAGGTATCTATAGGGAACCCAGGTGGAGATGGCCTACAGGATTAGTTCTTTTTACCAGGAAAATGGGAGTAGTATTTGCAGTTTTTCGTGTTGGAAGACTGTATATGATATATGTAAACTGGTTAGCATAGTACCTGATATATAATATGTACTTAGTAAATATTATTTTTAATATATTTTGGTCTGAGGTTCAGGAGAGAGATGTAGGTTAGAGATTAACAGCCACAGATTTTTAGTTTACAGTTGATAATTAAAGCCATAGAAATAGTTAAGATTATCTGGGGAAATAGCCTGTAGAGTGTGAGGAAGAAAAAAACTTCAACATGTAGTACTGCCTCATTTGAGTACATAATCTTATGCTTTTTCAAAATTTTACTTGAACAAAGTAGGGCCCTGGTGGTTTACGCCTGTAATCCTAGCTACTCTAGAGGTGAGGTCAGGAGGATCGTGGTTCACGGGATCCTATCTTGAAAATACTCAACACAAAAAAAGTGTTGGTGGAGTGGTTCAATTGGTAGAACA